ACCTAATTAAAAAATAAACAAATGACCCAAACTGGAGTTTACCTTTTAACAACATTACCAAGTGGAACACAAACAGCAGATGGGTTTGATTTTGAAAGAATTCAGTCTAAATCAGAAGGTCTTGCTGAGTGTTATAAAAGTATGATCCCAACACAATTAAAATTTGAATCACTTGATTCGTTAATGACATTATCTGATGATCTTGTAAGAATAGACAGTTCAGTTGGAACTGTTGTAAGAAGATTATGTAATACATGGGTTGATGTAAATAAGGAAATTCAGTTCAATGATAAATGGAATGAAACTGATTTAACACAATTTAGATGGGATGAAAAGAAATACCCATTTACAGAAACAGCAAAAGTATTAACAAACAGAATATATAAAGATATTCAACAAATTGAAGTCCGTTTAAGAGATTTAGTTTCTAAATATCAAACTACTTCAAGAGAACTTGCTATTGAACATAAAAAAGAAACAGGAACATTATTAACTAGAAGATTAGATTCATGTGTTCCAGATGATGTTATTGTAGATACAGAATATCTTATGACAGTATTTGTTGTAATTTCAAAACAACAACATAAAGAATTTCTTAAAATTTATGATACATTAAATGAATTTGTTGTATGTGATTCTGCAATACAAGTAATAGTTGATAATGATTTTGAACTATATCGTGTTGTTATTTTCAGACATGCTTTAGATGATTTTAAGAATGAGTGTCGTACATATCATTATTCAGTAAGAGAATTTAAACGAGAAGTTGCTAATATAGAATCAGCTAAATCATCATTAGAAGAATCACTTGAAAGTCAAAAAACTACTTTAATACGTTATTGTGAAGCAAACTTTGCTCATGTTCTTCATGCATGGTTCCATATGAAAATTCTTCGATTATTTACTGATTCAGTTTTGCATTATGGATTACCAACTAAATATGATTTAATTGTTATGAGACTTAAAAAAAGAGAAAACAAAAAGTTAATGAAAAATCTTGTTGGTAAACGTCCTACTATTGGTACTGAAGTTAATTATTTACCAACTCGTGAAGATCTTGGGTATGATCCAGAAGGAGCAGATAGTACATTCCCATTTGTCTTTACATCGGTTGATATTGGATATTTAGTCAATCCGTTGTTACTAGTTTCAAGATAAAGCAAGAAATAGAATAAAAAAGAATAATAGATACTTCTTCTTTTTCTTATTGTTTTTTTGAATAAAAAGAACTAAAAAATAGAAAATTGAATAACAATAATGATTCTTCACCGAAATTTCAATATTATTATTGTTTTAAGTTGTATTTTTTCATTAAGTTATAGTTTTGAACAAAATTATGAAATTGTTCATCAAAAAAGAGTATTAACAGAAGGACAAAAGATAGCATTAAGGAATAGACAATTTGTAATTAATTATTATAAAAATTTAGCAAAAGAACAAATGAAAAGAAGAAAAATTATTAAATATGATTCACCATCATATGATGACATTGCTGATAAACAAAGAAATGAGTTAAGTAATATTTATAATGAAATTCTTCAAAAGAAATTAAGAGAAAAAGCAAGAATGGAAGTTATGAAAGAAATAAAAGCAAAAGAGGCAAAAACAGAACAAGAGTTATTTGAGAAATTTAAAGAAGAAGAACGTCAAAAAATTCTCAAAGACACACAAAAAAGACTTCAAATAGAATTTATGAAAAGAAAAGAAGAAGAAAAAAGAGCAAGAATTAAGAAAGAACGTCAAAGAAAAGAACGAGAATTACAACGTTTAGAACAAGAAAGAGATTTAATGTTTAAAAAACAACTTAGAAGAATGTTATTAAAGAGAAAGAAAGATTATGACAAATACTCTCGTGAAGCAGAAAAAAGAAAACAAATAGAAGAAAATCAAAGAATCAAAGCAGCTCAAGAAAGAAAAGAATTTGAAAGAAGACGTTTTGCAGAAATGCAAAGAATACAATTAGAATCTCAAAATCAAGAAGAATCAAAAAGAAGTCGAAATGAATTACAAAAAGAGTTGTCTAAATTTAAAGACATGCTAAAAGGACGTATTTAGTTTTTATTCTTATTCACTTAATACTATTGTGTTTAATAAAAGGTTCTATTTGTTTATTATCAATTATTTTTGATGTTTTACAATTATAAGTTCTTTTAATTATTAGATTAACTATTTATAGAATAGGGTTAGGTTTAATAATAATTACCCTTAAATAAAGAAAAATATTTTAGGAATTATGGAAGGAAAATAGAGAGGAATTGATGTAAGAAAAAAGAAAAGAATAAGATTCATTTTCATGTCTAATTTTGAACAAGAAAACAAAGAACTGTTATTGAAGTAATGACTAACATTAAAGGATTTGACTCAACCCTTTTAGAGAAAGTCCGAGAAATACATCCTAATGAAAAGTTTACATTACCATATTATATTAATGAAGTTTATCCAAAATATACATTCCTTGTAATTGATTGTCCAAAACCACAAAATATTCCAATTGCAGTATTTGTTGTTCCACAAGGAAGTGAGAATGAATATCATTATGCTACTGATGAAGGTAATAAAGACCTTTGTCAAGCCATTAGTGCAGAAAGGGTTCTTCTTGTTTTTATTGATCCACATTATACAGTTGAAAATTTAGAATCAATTATTAAAGAACTTGGTCTTATTTCAAAAGAATTGATTCCAAAAGGAATGAAATCTAATGATGCACCAATTCTTACTGCAGAAGAAGGAGTTGGAAATAGAAAATTATTGTTTGAAAAGAAATCAGATTATAATGGAAATGTTTTAGTTGAAGAAACAAGTAATGATGATGGAAGTTCTATAAGAAGAATGAAATTTGAAGGATTTAGAACAGTTGTTCAATCAGAGGCTGTTGTTGTTAATGGAAAACTCAATGTTGAAAAATCAATTTTACAATCACCATATCTTGATGCCATACGTATTGGTATGTGTTTCTTTTGGCATTCTAAAGTAGATCTTCCATTTAGAGTAGTTATTATTGGAGCTGGAGGATGTACATTAACACTTGGTATTAAAACATTACTTCCAGAATCACGTATTGTCAGTGTTGATGTAGATCCAGTGGTTGTTGAAGCAGCATCCAAATATTTCTTTGCAACACATGAAGAAACAACAGCAGTAATTACTATGAATGGAATTGAATATCTTACTAATTTAGCACATAAAAGTGAAATGTCTATGCTTCAAAATGCAGTTCATGCAATTATTATTGATGTAGATAATAAAACAACATCAGACAAAGAATTAATTGGTCCACCATTACCATTTGTACAACAAAATTGTATTGTTAATATGGTTAAATCATTATTTACAGCAAATATGAATTCTATCACACCACCAATGATAATTTATAATATTGTAGCTCGTGATTCTCAATTAAGAAAATCTACAATTCTTGATTTAGCTAAGTATTTTAAACAAGTTTATGTCTGGCAAGGTGGAGACGATATCAATACAGTAGTTTTTGCATTCCCACATCAAATTCAACAATATAATATTAAAGAAGATGCACCAGAAAATAAAGAATTTAAAGAATTTTTATCACATTTACAACAAGTAAGATGAATAATTGATTTTATTAAACAAAACAAATTACGTTTTTAAGTTTTATTAAAGAATATACGTATTTATCGTTTATAAAAAGAAATGAACTTAAAAGTTTTAATTTTGTTCAATGAGTATTACTCCTTCTCTTTGTGATAAATTAGAAAAAGAATGGAGAACAGTTCATAAGGATAATGTAAATAAAGAATATATTAGACATGAAATTGAAAAAGAATTAGATTCAAGATCTGTTCATGTCAGTAATGTTGAATATACAACTACAAAAGAAGAATTAGAAGACTTATTTGAAAGATGTGGTGTTGTATTAAAAGTTAATATTCCTATCAATCAACTCACTCAAAAAACAATGGGATATGCTAATATTGAATTTAAAAATTCTAATGCTGTTGAAAAAGCAATAAAATTAACAGGAACTAATTTAAATGGAAGATATATTGAAGTTTCTAAAAAAATAACATTTGATAAAAGGAAGAATGATAGAACAGATTTTAGTTGGTTCTTTGAGGATTTAGATTGAATTTATAAGATGTTCTTCTTCATTTGGTTAGTGAATAGTCTGAAAATGAAGATAATAAATCACAAAATAACAAAAGGTTTTGACAAATGTAGTAAAAACAGAAAAATAATAACTCCAGTAATAACCACGTTGAGAAGACTCATCATAAAATTTTACATAATTAATAGTAAATTCAATAATAAAGAAATTAATATATAGAAATAAAAGGGGTTTAATGTTTAAACCCAAGATTAGATTTAATTTAATCATACATCATGGGACTTGATATTAATTTATTTAGAAATCAACCAGACGTTATTAGAGAATCACAAAAAAAGAGAGGAGCATCAGTAGAAATTGTTGATGAAATTCTTGCACTTGACAATGAATGGAAAAAAGAAGGATTTACTCTTGACCAAACTAGAAAAGAGCTTGGAAAGATTCAAAAAGAATTAGGTATGCTTCACAAAAATAAAGAAAATCCACCAACAAAAGAAGTTCTTGCAGAATATGATGTTAAAAAGAAAGCATGTGAAAGTAAAATTGCTGAATTAGAGAAATCAGTTTCTGAATTGAAAGTTAAAATTGATTCAAAAATTAAGTCAGTTGGAAATATTGTTCCTGATTCAGTTCCAGTTGAAATGGATGAAAAATTTAATAAAATAGAAGTTACTTATGGTGAATGTACTCCAAAATTATATCATCATCATGAACTTATTCATATGATTGGTGGAGCTGATACTGAAAGAGCTGTAAAAGTTGCAGGACATAGAGGTTATTATCTTAAAGGATGGGGATTTAAATTAAATCAAGCTCTTATTAATTATGGTACTAATTTCTTAGAACAAAGAGGATTTACTCCAATTCAAACACCATATTTTATGAGAAGAGAATTAATGGCTAAAACTGCACAATTATCAGATTTTGATGAAACATTATACCATGTTGGAACTGGTAAGGATGTTGAATTAGACGATCAAAAATATTTAATTGCTACTTCAGAACAACCATTAACTGCACTTCATGCTGGAGAATGGATTCTTCCAAAACAATTACCAATTAGATATATGGGATTCTCTACTAACTTTAGAAAAGAAGCTGGAGCTCATGGAAAAGATACTTGGGGTATCTTTAGAGTTCATCAATTTGAAAAGATTGAACAATTTTGTATGACACTTCCTGATAAATCTTGGGAAATGCATGAAGAAATGATTAAAAATTCACGTGATTTCTTTGAATCACTTAAGATTCCTTACAGAGTCGTTAATATAGTCTCAGGAGCTCTTAATAATGCTGCTGCTAAGAAATATGATCTTGAAGGATATTTCCCAGGATTTAATGAATATAGAGAACTTGTCTCATGCAGTAATTGTACTGACTATCAAAGCAGAGAGCTTGAAGTAAGATTACAAACTGACAAGAAAGACAAAACTAAAAGTTATGTCCATATGCTTAATTCTACTTTATGTGCTACTGAAAGAGCTCTTTGTTGTATCTTAGAAAACTATCAATGTGAAGATGGTATTATTGTTCCAGAAGTCCTTAGACCTTATGTTGGTGGTGTTGAAAAGATTCCATTTATTGCTCCAAAACCAGTTTGGGCTAAAGAAGAAAAGAAATCAACTAAAAAGAACTAAATAAAAATTCTCCTTTTTTTTAACTTTAATG